TTGCAACTGCTATTTATGTGTTTATTTCTAACAGGCAAGTGGTTAGATTTTGACAACCGTGTCAATCACAGGGATTTTAAAGAATGGAAAATAACTTTCGAAATCTTGGCGGAACACTGTGTTTTTTTTTCGTTTGTTAGTTTTATTTTTTTCAAGTTATCAAGTTTTGGGTTTTCGCTCGTGACCATGTTACAGTCAATATAAATCGATGTAAATACATAGTACGCTAGTCGCATAGGAGTATTGAACAAAAACCCAAAACTTGATAATTAAAAACAAAATATTACACATCGCTGATTTTGTGATATAATGTGTAAAAAGCCAAAATTTTCATGGAAGAATATAAAAACATATTGCGGCCTCTATCTACAAACCATGAAACCATAAAAAAAAAACAAATAGTGGAAATGGCTCTAATGTTGGCCTATGGATCTAAGATTGGGCCCATCGCTAAAAATCTGCTATTTAGCAATTGTATCTAGATGAACGCTTTATTGGGACGGTACTAATGGATATTTTTGTTTGCCATTGAAAATTTAGTCGATTGCTGAATTTATGTATGGGCCCAAATTAGGGTAACTTATGCCAACATTACAAACATTTCCCCTACAATCATTGTTTTTCAATACAAAATATAAAAAAAATAATAATAGCGGCGCCGGTGGTGTAGTGGTAAGCGTGATAACCTCTTACTCCAATAGGCCTGGGTTCATTCCCAGTCAGCACTTCGGAAGGGAAGTAAAGCCGTTGGTCCCCGGTTCATGAGTTGATGAGTCGATAGGTAGAGTCCACGTGTGGGAGCTGCCTCCCTGGCGTCGGTAGCATTAGTGGTCACGGAAACAAATAAAATAAAAAAAAACACATGAGCCGGGACCAACGGCTTTACTTCCCTTCCGAAGGAAGACGTGACCAGAGATATTTATGCCTCAGAAAAATCCCACCGACCTCGACCCATTGCCATTGGGGTGAGAAAGCAATCACGCTTACCACTACACCACCAGAGCCGGCATATTTGCATAATATAACCTTGAAATTTTAGTGTTATAGCCACCTTATTATATGGAGTAGAGTCGGTGTATAATGAGTCACGCCAAGAGAAAAACAGTTGAACTCGCATCACGGTTTCCGAAGGATTCCCTTTCTTTTCACTTGGCAACAGAGGACTTCTACATCAACTTTAAATGACTTCTAGCGAGAACCAAAAATAACGGCTGTAGTGAATCATACTATCAGTGATTTTGTCAAATTATCTTATCAAAAAATAGTAGAAATTCTCATTACTGATCAAAACCAAACGTATCCCATGACCATTTAATGCTCGCTGCGTGTTTATGATGATTTCTTCAATTTTATTTTATATTTCATTGCAATACCTTTCGTAGACCTTTCATAGCATCGTAATGTTTATTTACTTTGCACGATAGGTAGCCGATTTGACAGTTCAATAGGTAGACTTGGCTTCACTCTTGGCGTGACTCATTATACACCGATCTAATATGGAGATTGATAAAGTATGTTTGTGTCAGTGATTTGTTTTCATCGGGAACATTTTCCGCTATGAAGTTTTTTTTCCCGAAGAAAACATTTTGCGTATACGTATACGTGATGTGGTGTGCGTACAATAAACGTCAGCAATCTCTTTTGGGAGCTGAGGAGACATAGAGCTGCTTCTTATTGTATGTAAATATTTATTATTTTCATTGCAGAATACCAGCTTTTTTATCCATATAAATGTATTTTCACTATTTCTAGATAGAGCTGGAATTAGGGCGTAACAGCTTTTGTAAACATTGACTTCTATCGATGATTTCTAGGAACTCAAGACATGCCCACGCAGACGAATACAACCATCGGAAAGGGGAAGTCTTTCCCTACCCGATAAGGATGTTGGTTTGCGTGAGCGAGCCTTGAATTTCTAGAAATCATCGATAGAAGTCATTGTTTACAAAAGCTGTTAGGCCCTAATTCCAGCTCTATCTAGATTTGTATTTTAATGTTCTGGTATATTTCATTTATCCATTACATACATTTTCTTTATATAAATAAATACTGAGTTGGGAGGGAGCATCAGGGTATCATTTGACCTGGAACTGAACGATTGGAGTGGTATTACAACTAAAGTCTAGCAGATTATAAACACTATCATTTTGTTTATCCTACCGATACCAATTACAAAAAAAAAATAAAAAAAAATAAATTTGAAGCCTGGCCTAAATGGGAGTTAAAATGGCCAAGCATAAGGTGATTAAGGAAGCGCTACCATCAATCTAATATGAATATGTTTAAACACAGTATTCCTTAGAAGGTAAGGAGTATCCATTAGGTAATGATCCATTCTAGGGGCACGCAATAACCTTTAACTCCAACGCAGGCAACGGCTGTAATTAAATTAATTTCATTAACTACTGCTTTAATAACATTAATTACACAATTTAGAGCAATAACTACATGTTAACTCCATTAATTACAGTTGAAATTTCGTAATTTAAGTACATTAATTACATTTTAAATACTTTTAATTACATTTATTACGGATAGATAATTCTAATTACCGTCAGTACTACAAAACGCAGTAATTACTTTAAGTACTTTTGATTGCATTTTAACTTCAACCGGTTCTTTGTATTACGTGTCCCTCGGATCCATTCACTACCTAGATAGAAGAATTATATGGTCAGAAGAAAATGTTCTTTAATGACAAATCACTTCATAAATTAGCATAATACTGAGAATACCGTCGAACAAAATTCATGGGAACTGCAATGTGAATTACGTGTCCCTTATCTGCTTTAACAAATAAGAGCGAATTAACGCTTACCCCAGTTCAATTACTTCGTGTGATTTGCCAGTTTCTGATAGACGGGCCTGTAACTCGGTGGCTAGAATTTTGCACGCTTCACATTTGCTGGCGTATTTCACTCCTTCGTTTTCTTCCGGCCCACATAACACTATGCCAGGTAGCAATAGGATTAGCACTAGTTTCATCATTTTTGTTAGACAACAGTTTATTCAAAATGAGTTGAAATTCAATAAGCAAGTGACTTCACACAAATGATTTTGTTTTTATAAGACTTCAAACTACCGTGAGTGCCGTGCCGGTAGTTTTGTAAACAAAGTACGTTCTGTAACGTCATTGGTTGATTTTTGACAGTTCGTTCGGTGAGTGCATGCTAGTATGCTACACGCTAAGGCCCGGTTACCCATTTATGGGTAGAAAGTTACCCAAAATCGAAGTTCGTTAGCGCTCCTCATTTTTGGGTAACTGGCCTCGAACTCAAAAAATGAGTTCGTAGAACCGAACTTTCAAAATGGGTAACTTTCTACCCAGCGGAAAAAAGAAAAAAAGCGAGAAAACCCTGGAGGAAACCCCGTTGAATTGAGTTGGAAAAATTTCTTTTTTTGAATGAACGTTTAAAATAAATTGGACAGTTTAGTGAGCGTCTAGGATAAAGAGGAGAGGAGAGGAGAATTGATTTTGAGCCAAACGAAGGTAATCGAGCAGTGCTCATCTTAATTTTGTTTTCATTTAAAGGGTTACTATGAACCACCTAGACGCAGCTTGCCGAGGCAGTTTGTTTCGAATTCGATCCTCTCTTATCCTAGACCCTCATTAAACAAGTTTACCGTAAGTTTACAATGCTATGTATTTTTTTTTATTCTCAAATGCATGTGCATAACAATAAAAACACTTATTATCGTTTTCAAACGATTCAAAAAAAACACAAGACCTACAAAAATAAGCGATTACTGAGCCTGCTCTACTTGCTTGAATGCCTGCACTAACAAGTTCACTTGAACACTTCTGCTCTGTGTGAGTGTCTTATAATGAATAATACTGAATGAGTCATGAAGTGATCTCAGCAGGGTCGGAACAGGTAAATTAAAGACCTTAAAGGATTTATAAAAAACATCAATGGCTTGCACCGAGTCATCCCCGCAGTCGACGTGCTCTGTTCCATGAACCACGTAGTAGGAACCCTTCTTGAAGACATCGGCGATACACGCCAGGTGCGCAGGGTATTGGCCACCATGCAAGTGACTGTATTGGTCTTCAATCTGAAAATATACAATAGCATTTTAAGGATTAGAATCGTAGACATTTTGAAGGTGATTCCTTGTAGATTCCTCAAGTGTCCAATACCTATGCGATACAAACACGACCGTTGAAAAGATCCCTTAATATACATAGCTGAATTTTAATAATTTTCGTAAAAAGTGTGGTTGATCATTGCCAAGCTTAAATTTTTGATCAGTTTTGTGACCTATATTATAATATGGATATACTAAATCCTTGAGAGCTAATTTTTGGCGGTGAACTAATAATTGTCAGAGGGGTAGACCTCATATTTACCCTCCTGACAATAATAGATTAGGATACTCAACTCGGTTTTTACCCGAGGGATACGTGCCACGTAAAAAAAACCGCGTAAATGTGGAAAAAAGTGTATATTTCAAAACCACGAAAATCCCGAAAAAAAAACAGGAAGAACCAAACGAAGTTACGTTTAAAACGCATTTCTGAAGAAATCTAAGCAAATAATGACTACCGCGGAGAAAAAAGGGTAAATACCAAATTTAGTGTATTGCTAAACTCGACATCAAACGAAATTTTTATCTACACGGTAAGAAAAAAGTATCCAACGGCCAGTTCACTTTTACCTACTTTTGACTAGTTTGCCTCCTTTTCTCCTTCTAATGTTGTCAAAAACGGAGGGGCAAAACCACCCAACAGGGGTAGTAAAGTGTGGGAACCCAACGTTGAGTATAATCATATTTACCTACTGTTGGGTACAACTAACTTACTTTTGGTTAAAAAGCCAGTGGAAAATTCCATACGAACTGCACACAAGTAAATGAAAATTACTTTGACCCGCTTTACCTACTTTTGGGTTCCTGCACTATAGTGCCGAGATGAGTGAAAAGAACTTAATTTTGGGTACTTTTTTCTAACCGTGTAGTGCATTCGAGGAAGAGAAAATTGATGAAAAAACGGTGAAATACTATACCTTAACCCATCGTATAAATGGAGCTGCTGATACTTCATCGACTGACATACATTCCATTTCTCTACCACGTTTACAGCCACGAACGGGCAACTGCCTCATGATTATCAAACACGCCCGAATGTACTCTAGAGCAAAGAAAAAAATCTTTTGTAAATGTATATTCTTAGGAATTAAAAAATACATTTAAACATACCATCATCGATGAAATTGAAAATGTCACGTCGTAACAACAACGATTTTGATAAAAATCCCTTTAGATCTGGTGCTGATGTCCGGTTTCCTGTGAACCTATTGTACGCTTGTTGTATCTAAAAAGAATAGAATATCTATGCTACAGTTTACTTTTTCAATTCAAAGTTTGTAGTAAATACCAACAAGCCATGGTAAGATCGAAGATGCGGAAATTGACGAATGATGTCGGAAACGCTACGATTTCTGCTTAGCATCGACTTATGGAGCGGGGTGGCTTCATACATCATATAAGAAATAATGTGGCAGTTTTCCGGCGTTGGCGTTAAGGTGGCACATTTTTCAGCGGAAAACTTAGCAGCTTCAGCGTGACGATCTTCTTCATCTGAATTCAAGGAACATGAAGTTTTTCTCATAAATTTCCGATTTTCTTTAGGGACCTTTTTGCGCATATTGTTGGTCCTCTGTTCAATCAGGCCAGTGTGCGGCCCTTTACATGCACCGCCATTTGACCAGAAGAAAAATGACTAAAAATAAATAAAACAAAACCTTAGAAAAATTAAACTAATTGTGCTCGATACTGCATACCTCGTCAGGACCATTGACATTTGTTTTTGTCTTTTTTAATTGCGGAAATGCTTCACAAATATTCCTAGCGAGCAATTGTTTTTCGCCTCGAGTTGGGTAGCTAAAAAGGAGATAAAGGAATGCTTCAATGAATTAACATTAAAACAAACAATAATATAAATTATTGTAGATATTTAAGCTCCTCCAAATTTGAAATTAACACATATCGCATTTTTTCTTGAATATTTATGTAGATTTATCTGAGATAGATACTGAGATGTAAACAAAACCGCCTAGATTCTGAAATCCACGTAAAAAACAGTGTTAAAACAGACATGAATGTAATAGCAGCAAAAAAATTGCATCACAAAAAGATCAAAAAGATTTTCGTGGAAATGGTTTAATTAAATCAATGAATTCAATTTAACTATTCGAGGATTTAATTTCAACAGGTTATTTACAAAGCACATTGTAATTGTGTTAAATCTCGTAAATAGGTAAGCTATTTTTAAGGTTCAAACAGCCATTATTGATTTTTTTAACTTCAAAACCAGTTTTTTCGTTCAAACCAAAATCTCGTCCATAAAATGTGCTTATTGCATTCCACTGGCCTATCAAAACACACTGAACACAATTTCGTTGCCCAAATTTTTAATTTACACGAAAAAACTGCTGCTGTGAGAAAAAAAAACAATGACAGCTGTTTGAACCTAAATGAACTCTAGCATTTTTATAGCATTGTGTATGTGTACCTAAACGATGTGTTATGTTAATACTTTTATATTAAAGCATACTTACTTCTGGTGATTCAGAACACGATCTTCAAAAAAATGGTTGCAAATTATTCTGACCATTTCTAATAAATCGTTATGTCCCGGAACTTGGTCATTGTTTAGTTGACCATACAAAATATTACGAAATTTCGACGTATTTTCCAACGTTGTTTTGATTTCTGAAATCTGATAAGTTTCTTTGTTATTCAATGTTAAATTTATGGAATTGTATTTTTAAGGTGACTCGTTGTGAGATCCTTGCTTTCGTTACCACTTCAGCCACTTCAGTAAATCAGCCATTATGAAGGCCATTTGTGAACTCTTCAGGAAATCACTTTAGACACAACCTGGAAAAAAGTTTGAACACTTACCGAGAAATAGGATGGCACAAGTAATGGAGGCTCTCGATCACTATTTACGAGATCCGTAGATGTGTCCGTCGTATGCGCCGATTGTTGTCGATTGTTTTTCACGAAGTTCATAATTATGACTCGAAGGCCTTTCTGTGTTATATCCATATCTATCAAATCATTGTCATTCATAAGCATAAGAGCGTCATAGGTAATTCCGTGAGCTATAAAGAAGAGGTTACATCCATGAGCAAATTACGGAAGTTTATAAACATGAATACTCTGCCTTCCCGTTCTTGGCAACAAGTGATATTTTTTCTCTCTCCATTTTTAAAAATCGATTTGTGGGTTTATTTACTACAACATTCTTTAGCGATCAGTGGTATTGGAATAAAAAAAATATCGAAAAAGCATGTTGCAAAAAACGGATAGGCATTGTAATAAAAATGATAAAAATATTATCGTTAAAAATAAGTAACATTATGAACTATGCGTAAACTACTTATTAATTATTTGTTAATCCAGTTCATCCCAGAGCATCTTGAAGAAAAAAGAATCTATGGACAAAGTTCATCAAAGCCACTTGGCACAAATCTAATCAATCATCCATCGGCTGTGTTAATTAAAAAAATGACTCAGATTACTAGTTTCTATTGAGCCAACTCTGAGCATGATTTTCAACTTTATACATTAATGTATGTATGAAACAAAATCAATTATTGTATCCATGTGTTTCACTTATACATTTTTGCCAAAACATCAGCCTTATACATTCCATAAGACAAACCACATAGGTCCTATAAGAATGCATAAAAGGTATGTGTGACCGCTTATACATTTCATTTGACACATGATCTTCATTAACTTTTTGCAAGGCGGCTGCTTATTAGTAGACTTATACATTTTATGAGCAATAGAAATTTGCCAAAAGTTATAAGGAGATTTCTATTCGTGTAGACTGTTGTGTACTCGAGATACTACAAAACGGTGAAACAAATAGAATTATAGGCTTCCATGAACCTTGTCCTTAAACCAGGGTTATTTAAGAAGTGTGTATTATTTATGGCGGTAAGCTCCAACTTACTTTTAATCCCATCCCTGTTTGAAAGGCCTGTAAAATGTTAGCTTAGAGTTGAATTGACTAACTCTGATGTCGACATCAAAGCAGCCGGATATTCTTGATTGGGATTAAATCCGAGGATAATTCCAGTTGGAGCTTACCACCATTAAAGTATTATGTTTACAGTCAACTCTCCCTAACTCGATATTGAAAGGACCATCGAGTATATATATATATATAAATATAAGAGTGGCTTAAAATATCGATTTTGCTCCGATCCGATTTGCTCTAAGTCAGGTCCAGATATTCTCCCAAAATTTCATTTGGTTGCGAACTCATACTGCACTAGCCCTCTAAAGTTTATATGGTATTTACTATAGGAAAACAAAACTTTTTCTTCACCTCGTCATAATGATAATGATTCTTGCGACATAATGATTTACCGGTATGAAAATTTTCTCAGCTACAACTTTGCTTAAAACCATTTTTTAATTGAATTTCAGGTTAATTAGTTAGGCTGATGCAAATATTAATTTCATTTTATGTCCGACGTCACTCAAATCGAAGGGGGTGTCGCCAAAAAATCGAAGGGGCGACTCTATCTTCGATGCAGAAACGATTTTGTTTTGCTGTGCTTAGCTGCACGTACGATGAGTAGATTTCAAGAAGATTGATGAAGATTTTGAAGATTTCCTGCAAAAAGATGGAAGTCGATGCGAGTAGATGGATTTAGATGCTTAAAATGGCAAGAAGATTTTTCGTAGATTTATTCGCTGACGTGAGATTTTTCGAGCATCTATGATTGAGATTTAGATGTGTCGCCCCCCTCGCAAAAAATAAATAACAAGGGACGAAATAAAAATTAAGTGGTAAATGAATAAAATAAATTTATAATAAAAATAATATTTTGTGTAAGAAGATGAGATAAAAAGAAGAAGTGCAGTGGGAATTTCAAATTCAAATTGGGCAAATGATTTTTTTGCCCCTTCAGTATTTTGGAATTTTTGAAGGGGGGGGGGTGACATAAATAAAAAACAATATTTGCATCAGCCTTATTAATTGATTTCGAAGCTGTTAACTTTCTGATATGATCACTCGGCAGCATTCAGTGCAACACTGCATCTTGCAGTGTGACATAGTAGCCTGGATTGTTTTGCCCCATTCTTCACGCTGAGCACACCAATGTTGCCTGCTGAGCAGTTGAGGGAGCATATAACGAGAACATCGTTTTTGCAATAAATTAATACCTAACAAATTATCCTGACCTTTAATCAAAAAGTGGTCTTCGGCAAAGTTGTAGCTGCGAAAATTTCCTATAAGTACAGATGGCTAAGGGAAGGGTAATTAATTACGTCACGCACCAAAAAAACCCCTCCCTCCTCAGAGCGTGACGTAATTAATGGACGTTCCCTAACCAGTAAATCATTACGTCGCAATGTTAGGACGAGGTGAACAAAAAGTTTTGTTTTCCCATAGTAACTCCCATAGAAACTTTAAGGCCCAGTGAAGTATGAGTTCGCAATCAACTGAGTTCAAATTTTGGGAGAATTATCCGGACCTGATTAAGAATCGATTGATATATATATATATATATATATATATACAGCAATTCCATGACAAACGATAAAGTGGTTCTCAGAATTTCGTAAAAATGGGTAGTTTTGTTCTTTATCGCAAATGATTAGACCCGTATTTTTTATTTTGTCATTAGGGTCATTAGGTCATAGTTACTATGTTAACTATGTGTCAATGGAGACGCATGGTAGTCTAGTCGCATACACGGAGAAAAAATACTACCCAAAATTTGAGTTCTTTTTACTTAATATTGACTTCAGCCTCTCACTTGCACTCATTATTGTTATCAAAAAAGAAACGAGAGATTCGACCCAACGATATAGTTCGGCCCAATAAGTTACTTTTGAGTAAATTGCATATTCTCAAACTTACGTGAATTAAACTTAATTTTGGGTAGAATATACTTAAGAGTAGGTAGTTTTTTTGCTGGTGTTAAATGGAAACTACTATATGCGATTTACTCAAATTTGGGTTATTGGGCTGAACCCCGGAATTGAGGGAAATGTACTTAATTTTGGGTAGTTTTTCATCTCCGTCTAGGGTTTTTGATTGGAACCCCACAAAGTGATAACTTTAAAAAATCATAACTCAACAACGAAAAAAGATACATCGCTAATTTTTTGATATGTTGTGTAAACATGCCTAAACTTTCAAGGAAAAATATAAAAACATATGGCGCCCTCTGTCTACAAACCATGAAAACCATAAAAAACAAACACAATCAATGTGAAGTAATGAAATTGGGTTGTTAGCGGAATGCTAAATAAAACAGCAAAAGGGTTTATCTTCCATTTAATTCCACTTAATTAATTTTGGTATCCATGACAGATACGTATTTCGACTACAATGTGCAGTCTTCATCAGTGTCATTCCCACTAAAGAACTTATCAAAATCTAACCCCCTTAAGTACTCATCCCCTAGGTAAAAAAGTCAAGATCATAGGTATAAAAATGAAACTACAATGTGTTGAATCGGAACCTACCTAACTAATAAAAACCAAAGATTTAAGTAAGCTAAAGGAGAAAAATCTATACAAATCTCTAATAAGGAAAATTCCCAAAGGCTTGGTAGCCATCATAATGAAGTAATGAAATTGGGTTGTTAGCGGAATGCTAAATAAAACAGCAAAAGGGTTTATCTTCCATTTAATTCCACTTAATTAATTTTGGTATCCATGACAGATACGTATTTCGACTACAATGTGCAGTCTTCATCAGTGTCATTCCCACTAAAGAACTTATCAAAATCTAACCCCCTTAAGTACTCATCCCCTAGGTAAAAAAGTCAAGATCATAGGTATAAAAATGAAACTACAATGTGTTGAATCGGAACCTACCTAACTAATAAAAACCAAAGATTTAAGTAAGCTAAAGGAGAAAAATCTATACAAATCTCTAATAAGGAAAATTCCCAAAGGCTTGGTAGCCATCATAATGAAGTAATGAAATTGGGTTGTTAGCGGAATGCTAAATAAAACAGCAAAAGGGTTTATCTTCCATTTAATTCCACTTAATTAATTTTGGTATCCATGACAGATACGTATTTCGACTACAATGTGCAGTCTTCATCAGTGTCATTCCCACTAAAGAACTTATCAAAATCTAACCCCCTTAAGTACTCATCCCCTAGGTAAAAAAGTCAAGATCATAGGTATAAAAATGAAACTACAATGTGTTGAATCGGAACCTACCTAACTAATAAAAACCAAAGATTTAAGTAAGCTAAAGGAGAAAAATCTATACAAATCTCTAATAAGGAAAATTCCCAAAGGCTTGGTAGCCATCATAATGAAGTAATGAAATTGGGTTGTTAGCGGAATGCTAAATAAAACAGCAAAAGGGTTTATCTTCCATTTAATTCCACTTAATTAATTTTGGTATCCATGACAGATACGTATTTCGACTACAATGTGCAGTCTTCATCAGTGTCATTCCCACTAAAGAACTTATCAAAATCTAACCCCCTTAAGTACTCATCCCCTAGGTAAAAAAGTCAAGAACATAGGTATAAAAATGAAACTACAATGTGTTGAATCGGAACCTACCTAACTAATAAAAACCAAAGATTTAAGTAAGCTAAAGGAGAAAAATCTATACAAATCTCTAATAAGGAAAATTCCCAAAGGCTTGGTAGCCATCATAATGAAGTAATGAAATTGGGTTGTTAGCGGAATGCTAAATAAAACAGCAAAAGGGTTTATCTTCCATTTAATTCCACTTAATTAATTTTGGTATCCATGACAGATACGTATTTCGACTACAATGTGCAGTCTTCATCAGTGTCATTCCCACTAAAGAACTTATCAAAATCTAACCCCCTTAAGTACTCATCCCCTAGGTAAAAAAGTCAAGATCATAGGTATAAAAATGAAACTACAATGTGTTGAATCGGAACCTACCTAACTAATAAAAACCAAAGATTTAAGTAAGCTAAAGGAGAAAAATCTATACAAATCTCTAATAAGGAAAATTCCCAAAGGCTTGGTAGCCATCATAATGAAGTAATGAAATTGGGTTGTTAGCGGAATGCTAAATAAAACAGCAAAAGGGTTTATCTTCCATTTAATTCCACTTAATTAATTTTGGTATCCATGACAGATACGTATTTCGACTACAATGTGCAGTCTTCATCAGTGTCATTCCCACTAAAGAACTTATCAAAATCTAACCCCCTTAAGTACTCATCCCCTAGGTAAAAAAGTCAAGATCATAGGTATAAAAAT